GGTGACTCCACCACCTCCCTGGGCAGCCTGTTCCAGTGTGTGATAACCCTTTCAGTGAAGAACTTCTTCCTTACATCCAATCTAAACCTCCCCTGGCGCAGCTTGAGTCCATTCCCCCTCGTCCGATCATCTGTCATTAGGGAGAAGAGACCAACACCCACTTCTCCACAACCTCCTTTCAGGTAGTTGTAGGCAGTGATCAGGTCTCCTCTCAGCCTCCTCTTCTCAAGGCTAAACAAGCCCAGTTCCCTCAGTCGCTCCTCATAAGACATATTCTCCAGACCCTTCACCAGTTTTGTGGCCCTTCTCTGGAATAATAATAAAGCTCTAGGTTCACCTAAAAAAATGATCCATTTTAAAAATCACCCACCTAAGCAAAACCAGCACAAGGATATGTAAATAACAAATCTACAGCACTTCTCAGCTTTAGGTGTTTTTACTGTATTAGTTCATACCACTGTCACATATTTTGCACTTTGCTGGATTCATTCCCGGGGTTGGACATCGCCCCAATGGTGTGGGTCGGCTGCAGGCATTTACACTCTTGCCAACACCACTCTGATGACTGAAGCTACTGAATTTACAACCACTTACACCAGACTTACATCTCAACCCGATACCTTTGAGATTCATCAGAGTCCCACTGCCGTCAGCGAACACTAACTCCATCTCTGTGGGCCAGCCCTGGCAGAGGCCATGTTCCCTCAGCTCTCCCTAAATCAGTTCTCTTCTAAAATAAACATTCCTGCCCTTGGAAGCTCAGTCCTACCTATGCATCAGCTTGTATTTCTGCATCTGTAGGACAAGGGGTAACAGGTTTAAATGGAAAGAGGGAGATGGAGATGGGACATCAGGAAGGAATTCTTCCCACAGAGGGTGGGGAGGCACTGGGACAGGTTGCCCAGAGATGTTGTGGATGCCCCATTCCTGGAAGTGTCCAAGGCCAGGCTGGATGAGGCTTGGAGCAACCTGGTCTAGTGGAAGGTGTCCCTGTCCATGGCAGGGGGTGGGACTGAGGGGGCTTTAAGGTCCCTTCAACCCAAACCAGTCTGTGATTCCATGATTTCACTGTCTCCAAACCCAGTGAAAGCTCTGCGCTGTGAAGCCCGAGGGCTCGCTGCAGCAGCAAACTGCAGTACTGACATTTCATACCATGAGTTACCGGGGTCACAGCCCTGCAAATACTTGAATGTGTGAGTTCAGGGGGATTTCTCACATTATGTGTCCAAGTTTCTTTACAACAGTTCTCTAGAAATCTCAAAGTTCAAGGATTAAGATAAAGCTGCAGTGTTTTCAGCACCAACGATAAGACCAACAATGGGTACAAGGTAAAAAATCGCGCATCCCACGAGTACATCCTACGTTACAGAATTGCCTGTTCACTAGAAAAAAAATAGATTATTTATATTTGTTGGGCACAAGCTGTGTATAAATCCTTAATGATATAGATAAAGGATATTATATATCCTGTTTATGTCCTAAAGCAATTCTGCTTCCCCTATTGTTTCTAAACACAAGTTTACACATTGCATGAAATGTTATATGGGTACTTGGCCAGTGCTATGCTTTTTAAAAAATATATATAATGGAAACCAGGATATACTTTAATATCAATTAACCATTCACATAAAAATGTGTATGATCTGATATATACACACCTCACAGGCAGAAAGCTTCCCAATCAATGAGGACGTTGTGTGGGCATCCTTAGAAGCAGACCCTTGAGCTCTTTTTCAAGCACCAGTTGTGACTGTGCAGGGCTTGTTTACTTTCCTAATTCTTTGGAAGGAGTTAATTGAGTTACGGGAGCCAACATTGCTCCTCAGAAGCCCTTTGAGCCCTGCAGAGCCAGGGAGCCAGTGCTGGAAAGGGGATTTAATCCCCGCAGTGCTGGAAAGCTCAGGCTTGCTCCCATTTCCACAGATTTGGCCCTCTGAGTAAGGGAATTGTCACCTCTTATCTGCAGGAGCACATTTCCAGTCCATGCAGGGACACAGCTTAACCCACACATTCTGCACATGGCAATGTTTTCTAGATCAGGTTATTCACCTCCGTCACTTTCAAAAAGCCTGAAAAATCAGCAACCACGTTCCCGTGAGTCAGCATAGCACCTTTGGGGTTTCCTGAAAGGAAACAAAGAGCGATTTTAAAAGATAAGCCAGTAAGTAATTTCCAAAAGCCTAAAAAAACCCCAAAAACCAAACACACAACAACAGAAAAAGTTAAAATATTCTGTTTCCTTTTTGAGCTTTAAAACTTTTGTAATATTGCAGTCATTTGTATGCAGTAACATGCACCAAAATCACTCACTACAATTCTCAAAATATAATAACATGATGCTGTAAACACAGTATAACATTAACATTTCTGTCAGAGACTCTGAACAACAGATTCCACCAGAAATAGACCAACTACAATTTACAGGAGTGCTCAGATGGAGCCGTCTGAGGAGCGTGGCCATCAGACAAGGCTGGTTGTTCCCAGCCTCTCCAGGTAGGATTTAATCCATACAGATTTTGGCTAAGAATGATCTTGAATACCAACAAACCCCATTTAAAAGGCTGATACTTAGCCACTGTGCTCGATAACCCGAACAAAGCAGAAAACAGGTAATACATGGTAAAAATTAGGCTGCAAGAAGACCGTGAGAGACTGCAATTAAGGGAAGTCATTAATATTGTCGGCAGCAGAGCAGAAGTGTCCTGGGGACAGGGACAAAATGCTGGCAAAGCCTCCACAGATCACCCCGGTGCCGGGCACTGTGCCGCAGCGTCTCAGCAGCCGCCCATACGTGCAGCTCCACACCGTCAGTATTTGCTTTTTCACCCTCTTTTCTGAGCTGGGAATCCCCATTCGCAGCATCTTTTGGATTGCGTATCCGCTCATACGCCAAAACGTGGGGTTCGTTAAACGGTGAATGCGCAGGCAGAGCCGAGACCCCATCCAGAGCGCCTGGCACGTGGGACTCTGCGTGTCCCCCTGATACAGTACTGTCCCTTTTCATCACCCTCAAAGGGTTTATTTCCGAAAAGAAGGGGTAGCTCAGGAGGCCGCCCCCAGCCTCTCTCTCTCTCCAGCGTCTTTTTAAGCAGATTGGTTTAATTTGATCACCCCACTGCAGCGTAGGTCCTGCTACGCCGTGCAGAAGTGGATCAGAGGAGCTTTGCCTGCGGGTATCCTGCTTGGCGGGCACAGGGATGCCCCCGGGGGCTTTGCAATGCCATTACAGTTAATGAAGGGTGCAACAGCCCCACAAAACTGTAAATCTGCCAGAACTGCATCCTGGACTCCTCAGATCAGGAATGGTGTTTTGTGAATCAGTTTCAGCACAGGAAAATACACTTAATCCTCTCAGTTTCAGAGCAGTTTGCAGGCTGCGTGGCTGGCAGCCCTTTGGTGCGGGCATGCACCCATGTGGCACAGCCCAGGAGCCCTGTGCCCTGCCAGCTTCACTGTCGTCGCTTCTGCACAGTCTCTCAAACAACTCAATAAAGGCCCAAACCAAAGCAGTAATTACGGCACACATTTATTGTATTAAGGCAGGACATTTTGAACACAACGTATTTTACTGAAAATCCGTATTTAGTGTTCCAAGTGCATTTGAGTGATTCAGTCCCAAATGCTTCCAGAAGAATGCAGGGCACAGGTGGCTATTTTGATCTCACCTACGTTCATCCTCCTCAGAAGCTCCAAGGTGAAGCCGGGGCTGACAGCTTTGCAGCCACAGCTGCTCCTGCCCTCGCACCTTGAACAGACAGGCTTGCGGGCATCAGCAGCCAGGCAGGTTTTGTTTCGAGGCCCTCATTTTCACAGCTGGGTGCACATGTGGATCCAGACCTCAAGACAACTCCATGAATCCATGTCAGTTGTAACTACATTCCAACAACTCTGAAGTTGCCCGTGTTATTTTAGCTGGGTCTCGCTGAACGCGCGCGCTCAGCCCCTGCGATTCTGCAGGTAGCTGGACTCCCACGGCGTTGCTCTGCGTTGGCAGCCTGCAGGGCACACACCGGAGGGGAGGATGTGCTCAAGGCTGCTTTGGAAATTCAAAACTGCACCCTCATCATTTTCTACCAGCAGCAGATCTGGGTCCTGCACCTTGACACAGCTCTTCAGATTTTTTGGGAAGATTTCTCAGATGCTTTGAGACCTCGGACTCATTTACTTACTCCACTGCTGACTTCTTTTCAATGTAAATTCAGTACCTCTGCTCAAATCACCACGATATGCCTGGAAACAGTGTGAACATCCTGTCTCCGTCCCCCACGTCCTGCCTGCAGCAGGTCCAGCGTCCCAGCCAGGCTGGTCTGTTATCGGTGTCAAAGCACAGCAGCAGCAT